TTTGCTCAGCAGTGAGCACTTATAGGCTGATGATGTGTGATGTGATTGAAATAAATTATTTGACTTTTCGCTTTAAAATTTTCCCCGAAGTAAAAATCTTACCTTAACACAACAGGGAAAAGTCCAAATTACACTATTAAACGTCATAGTACCGGTTAAATTGATCGCTGGACCTATGACTCATTCGTCATCCTTATACCTACGTGCATCTAAACACGAGTACCTTAATAGGTCGACGTGACCATGCGTACGCAAACGTACTCAGTGTGATGGTACCGCGGCCTTAGCTCGCCGCCCGACCAGAACCAGACCCGAGCGTACGGCGCGTAGCGTTCCGCGCGCCTCAAAGAGCCAGTAGACCACCACAGACGGGGCCCTAAAGGGCTGATGTTCAGCCGGGGTTGTGGGGTAAGCGCAATGAGGCACCGCGACCTCGGCATAGAGCTGGAGTAGGAACAGGGGGGTTTTTAGTCAGTAAGAGTCTGAAACTCCCTCCCGCCCCACCCTGGGCGGGAGAAGTCATTTGGTGATTACATACAAAAAAAGGTACCGCGGCCACGGCCTAGAGCAGGAGAAGGAACGGAGTGATTTTTACGGCGCCCTCCACCTCCAACTAATAACTAATCTTAATCCCGAGAGCGTTAATCGTGAGGAAACCTGGACTTAAAATCTCTAATTATAAGTTTGAAATCGCCATCCTGCATTGAGCAAGCGTGGTAAAAAAAAGCAAGTGAGAAAAAACCTTGCTCAGCAGTAAGCATTTATAGGCTGATGCTGATGTTGATGATGATGAATCCCGCGAGCCAAGCTCAAGCATTTAGCTCAACCAAATTATGATAATAACTGTATTATGTACCTACCTGTGATCTACAATTAATAAATGAATTTGAATTTGAAAGCTTCGGTAGGAATGTGTCGGCTCGACCGGATTGATACCACGGCCTCACAGAAATCTGGTGACAGGAACTTGTGATCCCTAAAACCCAATTTAGTTATTAAAAGTTAAACTTACGTTAAACAAATGAGAAAATAGAAAGCACGCTGCTCATGATGAAAAAAATAAATAATGATATATGTATAAGTTTGGGAGAGCCAAGCTTCGGCACGATTGGGTCGGCTCGACCGGAGTGATACCACGGCCTCACAGAAAACCGGCGTGAAACAACCACAGCGTTGTGTTTCGCCGTGTGAGTGAGGTTACCGGAGGCCCAATCTTTCTCCTCCTCCGATCCCTCCCCAATCCCTTAATCTCCAAAACCCTAATCCCTAAAAGGTTGGCAATGCACTCGTATCTTATCCGTTGCGGGTGTCCATGGGCGGCGCTGATTACTTACCATTAGGTAATCCGTCTGCTCGTTTGCCGACCAATCACATAAAAAAAATATGTTGAAGGTTGGCAGTCAACAACTGTGCGATTTTCGCGAAACACAGCTTCGCACAGCAAAACTTTAGAATGATCTTTTGGCGACGGTATTTCCGAACCGATACGACCTTCGAAATTTTAAGAAACGAGCGTACAATACGGCCGACCTATCCTCGCGAGTCTGAAGTTATCCCTTTGTCTGCGCAATGGATCTTTTAGGAATAAAATTGTGTACTGCGCAGCTAATAGGCTAAGTTCAGACTCGCCAAGATACGCTGACGGTATTGTACTCCTTCTTGAAATGCCGGCAACGCGCTTGTGACTCCTCTTGTGTTCTAGGTATCTATGGGCGTCGCTGATCACTTAACATCAGGTGATCGAGGGAGGATCTCCGGCCACCGTAAGCACGGGTCGGCGAGTAAGGGCAGCTCTCCGCCCGACCAGAACCAGGCCCGAGCGTACGGCGCCAATAGACCACCACAGACGGGGCCCTAAAGGGCTGATGTTCAGCCACCGCGACCTCGGCCCAGAGCAGGAGAAGGAACAGGGGGGTTTTTAGTCAGTAAGAGTTTGACACTCTCTCCCGCCCGGCCCTGGGCGGGAGAAGTCATTTGATGATTTTCCCCTCACAAAAAAAAACATCAGGTGATGAGTCTGCTCGTTTGCCTTCATTTAATCGTTATTTTCAATTAATTTTAGAATGTCTCATGATAGTCAGGTACTACATGTACAAAAAAATTAAAATCATGTTTAATAAACATGATTATCACGTTGTCTTTATCAGTAGAACTTAAATTGAATTATGTGTAATGATAATTTTATTATAACATTGGTTTATAGGTATTCATAATGAGTTTTCATTAGTTTTCTTTTTGATATATCTAAGTTACGTGAGTTGTACTTGTATCTATTGGTTTATTGATTAATTATAATCTTAATAATATTATTTCCGATGCGTGTTCGAAGCGTGATTGTGAGATAGCCTACATTTTAATGTCTGTAGTTTTTCTACAGCAAACGAGAATCAGCGCCGCCCATGGACATTCGCAGCAACGAAATTACGAGTGCATACAACCGACCTTTTGGGGATTAGGGATTTGATGATTTTGGGATTGGGGAAGGGGAAGGATTCTGCCTCCGGTAACCTCAATTACACGGCGATACACAACGCTGTGGCCGATTTTCTGTGAGGCTGTGGTATCATTTCGGTTGAGCTGACTCATCCGTGCCGGAGCATGGCTTTCCCTCACCTAACCCTGGGGTTTCTTGACGCGACAAAATCGGAAATGTAGGAATTCGCCAAAGAACCAAACTTACCGACATTGCTCGTCAAATCTGCAGGCTGAAGTGGCAATGGGCAGATCACATCGCTCGAAGAAAGCACTCGAGTAGATGGACTGGAAAACGAAGCGTGGACGGGCTTCCTGCTAGGTGGACCGACCATAGAACTATATTGATATCATAGAGAAATTAACCTGAGTTTTATCCTCTTTGATTGATATAATTCTGTGGGACCGACGACATCTTCAGAATCATGAGGAGTCAATGAATGTAAGTGCCGAGTTGTCTTTCGACGTGGAGGACTAAGGAGGAGGCCTTTTTTCAGTAGTGGACGTCTTTCGGCTGATGATGATGGTAATGATGAAGCACTATACGTTGCTAGGTACTTCTGTTAGCTCTAATGCGAGCTATTTTGGATTTAACATCGATGATAGAGGGATTACGAGTGATGTTCCGCGGGCCTGGAGAAGGAACAGGTGGTTTTCAGTCAGTAAGAGTCTGACACACCCTCTCTCCCCAATCACAGCATAGCGGGTACGGAAAAAAAATTAACTTAAGTAGCTTCCACCCGCGGATTGGCACGCGTATAAAAGTGAAGAACCCCGAGACTTTAGAAACAACAGCTTTTAAAGCAATAGCTCGACTAAAATATGAAAATCAAGTATAATTAATATTACACTCAGGAACATTGTAGCTATTTCCTAAAAAAAATACAAAATTCTTTCAGTGAAAGAATTTTGGCAATCCGACCAGCAGTTACAAAGATTACTTCCTACATGCAAAATTACAAATTTTATCTTTTTATAATACTAGTATAGGTTAGGTACAGAGATTATTGTACAAAAATAAATAAGTAGTCAGCCAATCAATCCGTGTCATCAAAATAAGCTACCTAAACCTAAATGCAATTATATCTGGTTTGAACTGGCGAAATCCAGTTAAAACTCAAAGAAAACGTTTTAAAAGAAGATTTAGGTTGTTAGGTAGGTAGGTACCTATAAGGTACCACGCTATGTCGTTTATTACGAAAACCGTAATTTATGTCCATCACCCGAGACCTCAGAGATCACGATAAAAAGTAATTTTAGTTACAATAATACTTACAAAGTTACAATGACACGCACAGTCTATTTTTATAAATTTACCTTTTGAACTCAACTATTATGTATCAACCTAAGGTAAGTATTAATAAACTAAGATTTGTGAGGACCACCCAGAGCCCTGCTTGGGCTGAGCACCGCCGTCACCGCCGTATCCTCGGGGAAGTGATCGGCGGCGGCGACCTCTCGCGCCCGACCTTAGTCGAGGCCATTGTTCGTAGCGAGAGGAACTGGGAAGCCATCTGCTTTTTCTGCGAACCAGTGATGCTCGCAAAGGAGGAGGCGGAGCGCGTGAGGGAACTATCTCCTATCCTCCTCGCGCCCCAGCCGCCGCGCCACAGTGGGCGACATTCCGGGCGTCGGGGATCGAGAGACGATCTCCGGCTACCGTAAGCATTGTCTGCGGACCGCTGCCCGACCAGAACCACACCCGAGCGTACTGCGCGTAGCGTTCCGCGCGGGCCTCAAAGTGCCAATAGACTTCTACAGACGGGGTAAGCACAATGAGGCACCACGACCTCAGAGCAAGAGAAGGAACGGGGCGTTCTTAATCAGTAAGAGTCTGACACCCGACCATGGGCGGGAGAAGTTATTTGATGATTATCCCCTCACAAAAAAAAGACGGGGGAAAATCATCAAAATGAGTTCTCCTGCCCTGTGTGGACGAGAGTGTTAAAGCCCAGTATTAAAGACTCTTACTTGAGTTTTAGTGGTTAAAGTTTCTTACTGACTACAAAATCACCTCGTTCCTTCTCCCAGCTGAATTGGATTGGATGGTAGGGTTGTGTGTCTGGACTACTGGCTAATATACCACACGTCGCGAAATTAATTCCTGTGTGGTTCTTAAATAGAAGTTTCGGTTCCTTCTGGGATTTCGATTAATAAAAACATTCTTTTTTTTAAATTTTCACGTTTTTATCGACGCATCCACAACACAGAAGACAATGTTTTTATTTAAAAAATGAACTTGAAATTGTGCATAGCTTTGTTTATAGGGTTCATATTTGTATTATAAGGCCAAAAGTTCCTTCCTAATGAGTTTAAAAGTAAGATAAGCTACGGATTACATCACTGCATAGAAAAATCTGGGTTTATCTAAGACTAAGACACAGCGATAATGTAATGTATTAGTGCCCTTAACCCGTATCACGCGGTGTATGGAAGGTAGTTTTATTTTCGTTGTAATCAGAAATAAATAAATTTGTTATCGTAGAAATAAAGTAATTGATATCGTGGTACTAAAACATTACTCGAACATAAATGCATTATTTTTCGCTCTAAGCGACACGCACGACATAACCGCGCCGCGCGCCAACCAGTGAGGACGCAAGTCGCCACATCGCGCCATTTCTTCGTCTTTCGAATTTAGAACTTTGTTCGTCGTTTCTTTTTTTTTGTAATTTTTACTTAATTTGTGCCAGTGCTAAAATAAGAAAAATGAAGGTTTTAGGCGTTGTGGTTTCATTTTTGTGTGTGTGTTCTGTATTTGCCAGTGAGGTGAGCTTTTTTAAATATTAATTTGATTTTGAATTTCAATTGTTAAAAATTAAATTGGCACTATTTAATAATAATTACTAAAGTATTGAAACATATTATAGTTAGCTATTTAACTAGTGTCCAATCGTCAACAGACCTCGATAACAAATTGATACAGCCCAACAAAAATGTTTAAAAATACTTCATTTGCATGTAAATAATAAAATATGACTACAATTTATTACAGCCATTTTTTGGTATTATTTTGCAAAAATGTATGCATAAAATAATTACCTACTTAGCATTTAGCATTCATTTAAAACTAAATAAGTACCTAAACTCTTTTCCCTATTTGTATGAATTTGTAAAAATAAATGTAAGTAATAGCTATAACTTCAGAAACGCCACTATCCATACAAAAACAAGGGAAAAGTAAAAAATCAAAGATAATTTTAAATAATAATATGAGTAATACTGAGTAATACCGCCTCCTTTCTACAAGATTCCCGATCATGCAGCGTGCGCGTGTTATTGTTGCGTCTTTTTCTAACTCGAGGGATGATGTTCATTGTTGTTGTTCTGTCTCCCTCTAACAAAGGAATCTCCCTGCGTTCCAAATTTTGAATAGAGAATGCATGGGATGTCACGTAGGCCCTTTATTATTATTGGTTAATTTCTTTGTGATTCTGTTGCTAAGTGCAATATACTATGTAGATAGGTACGTAGATATCTACAGATACGTAATAAGAGGAAATATTTTGTTTCAATTACATTTAAAGGTCATGAATGAATGAAAAATATTTATTGTATTCTATTTAATAATGATTTACTGGATCATTCATTTATCCTTAATATTACTCTTCAAATTACACCCATTTCCTGATGTCTGAAAAAAATAAGCAACTTTTTTGACAAAAAAAACCGAACCTATCATGCAGATTAAAAGATAAAATAATTTTATTTTGACTTTTTTTGATAGAATAACAATCTACAGACATCGGCAAAAACTGTAGGTCCTTTAAATAAATGATAGACAAAGAACCAACTTCTGAATTCTCCACAACAAACTTTCCATTTATTAAAACAAATATTTATAAAAGGACAATGTTTTTGTTTCAGAATTACAGAGCAGGTGTACTGCACTTGCAAAACAAAGACATTAGCGAATACACGCGTGTCATACGTGAAGCTGGCAACACGGTGAGTCAGAAATTAAAATAATATATATTATCCTAGACGTAGGGTAGGGTAGGGTAGGGTATGTACTATGATAATATACAAAAAACTAAACACAAAAACAAAATAAATACGTTTGGGAGTGGGAAATCGCCTAAGTCAATATTTTTTTTAAATAATGACATCACTAGTGAATAAATAGAATGGTAGAAAGATAGTATCGTTGGAATCGGAATTGATTCCGTAAGAAAAGAAAAATTACGCGCCTGATGTTTGAATTTTATCTTAATTATAAAAAAAAGTTGTCATAATGTCTAATTATACATAACTACAACATTATACTTTGAAAGGTGTCTTCAAGGCTAGAGTAAATAGGCTCTTAATAAACTAGTGCGCCTTACCATCAACGATTGCATCACTGCTTACCATCAGGTGGGATCGCAGTCAGGCACTAGTTTATTGCAAGTAAAAAAAATGGTTTAAAAAATAAATGAAAGCTTCTTAGCGATGGTCTAAATTCTACCCTGTAAGTTTATCTGATAACAGCAGTAGGTCGTAGTTTGGTACTCCTCCAGTCACCTCAATATAGGAGTATCAGGGATCTCAAGCATGTTTTGCTACGATAACAATTGTTTTATAAACACTCACAACATAACACAGTTATTTTTAAAACATGAATTGCCAAGGGAAACAGTTATAACCTAACTAGTTTATTATTACAAGTGAATTAACTACCTACTTTGAAAAACAAACTACAAAATAAACATTTTTTAAATGATACCTCTATGGTCAAACATCAAATAAAAATGAATAAAAAAGTTTATTAAACATTGCATTCCATGCAGTTTTCCAAATTCGAATTTTAGTTTGCGAATAAAGTTTGTAAATAAAGAGCACGCGGTGATCAGCTGGATAGGTCATTGACCATCACACTCGTACAATGTGTATGTGCGTGATCAAAATAAATGCAAGAAATATTTCCTTGCGCAGCCAGAATAATAATATTTTTATTTAAAAATAAGGTACAAAAATAATAATCTTTATTTGAATTTTTAAAACGTTTTGTCACTATAATTAGAACCTTTGTTTAAGAATTTGAAATTGGAATAATAGTGTTTTATTTTTATTGTTGACTTTGCAAGTGACGTCACCAGCGGCTCTAGATAACTATGTAGTCTATGTTTTCTTTCAACTTTATAATCTACATCAGCTGTTCTATTTTTGAATAAAGAGTAACAAAAAATAGGTACATTTTTAATAACAGTACAAAACAAAGTCGGTTTCTCTGTCCCTATATGCCTAAATGTATGCTTTAAAATCAAGTAACGGATTTTGGTGCGGTTTTTTAAAAGATGGAGTGATTGGAAGTTCTATATCTATATTATCTATTAAATAATGGAGGAATTTAGTATCAGCATTGCAGCAGCGACCCGCGCGAAGCCGATGCGGGTCGCTAATTGTGTAGGATACATTTTATTATTGTTAGTTTTTATGCGTATTCTTATCGTTTATTAATTTCCAGGACGTCGATATTGTTGTGTTGCCGTCGTTGGACTCCGTCGAATCGTCTGATAAATATGATGAGGTAAGTTTCAGTTATAAAAATAAATAAATAAACTAAATACTAAATGCAGATAAAGGAATAATACCCTAATCAGAGAGGAGTCACAATCAATTCTAGCTTTTGTAGTTTGTACTATTATCTATACCGTACTTCTAAGTTTGTATGTAGGGCGTAATCTTAAGAACCGCTGGTCGGATTTCCAAGGTACTTTCACTGATAGTTAGCTATCTACAATGTTCCTGAGTTTTAAAGGCTATAAATAAATTATAAGTATTTACGTGATTAGAATAACTCAATAATACATTGCTTAACCCTTCGATTATTATTATGAGACTAAATCACAAAAAATCCTTTCAAATCTCACCTTCACGCGATCCCCACGTGTTGTTGTTCCATCTCTTTCTAATGTCATACAATTATGTTCTTTGTTGTTGTTCCGTCTCGTTCTGACGGATATTCTATTGAACTTTTAAATTCGTGGTGCATGGTCCTAAGTCACGTAGACTATGGTATTGACGCATACAGCCTTTCACTAGTTAAACAAGGTAAAATAAATACTTTTCGTAAAATAATTTGGGATTATTTTGTTTAAGGGTCCTTTTTGCTTGGTATTTTTAAGAGATAGTGTAGTTTTAAAAGGTCTATATTACATTAATATTTTGAATAATGAAACTCTAAAACAATAAAACTCTATTGACTGTACAAGTAAAAGTACAATCGACAAAATTGCGCCTGCCTAAGTATAATTATTTCATACACTTTTGTTTTTCGTTACAGATTGTCGACGTAATATCGAAGACAGCTAAACAAGCGAGTGTGTATGTGGCCATACATATGTATGAGAAGGCTCGTTGTCACTTGGGATATGAAGTAATTAGGAGTAACCTGGTGTTCGATAGGAAAGGCGATATTATTTCTGTGTAAGTATTTGTAGTTGTTGTATTTTTTTTTTATTAGTTAAGCCTGTTAGCGATGTTACTGAAAGCCCAATACAGCCCCAGTCTTCCCCTTCATCCTCAATCCTCAAATCCCCTTAAATCCTTTATAACCAACATGAGGCCGGCAACATACTCGTAGTAACTCCTTTGGTTTAATGAGTGTCCTTGGGCTTCGCCGATTGCTTACTATCAGGCAATATGCACGTCAGTATGACATAAAAAAGTCAAAAGCACGGCTCCTGTGCAAGAGGAGTCGTTACATTTCTAATTTCCGTTGTCCGGAAATCCTCAGTAATAACGAAGAGTATTGAATACAGCTAATATGCGTCAACATACTATAGAAATTGTAACATAAGGGCGTTACTGATATTATACGCTATACCACTGATGCAATAAAACAATACTAATTATCAAAATTTTACAGTTACAGAAAACCTCAAAATGGTAAAGCCAACTGTACAGCCTCTCCTTCAGAGCTAGTTACCTTCACCAGTGATTTTGGAGTGACCTTTGGCGTAATGATGGAAGAAGATTTAGCTCTTTATAATGTAGAGCAATTGAAAGGACTGAAGAACTTCATTTTAACTGGAGACTGGCAGTCGGAGTTGCCGTTATTTAGCGGTGAGTTCATAGGTTTTTTAAATACATGATTTAACCTTTGACCGCCATAATGGTTTGTTATAACCGCCAACCCAAATATACTTAATTTTTGGTCGGCTATGCTCGACATTGGCGCATTAGCCTAATTTTCGTTTGTATATAGCCGGCTATGGCAGTCAAAAGTTTAATGAGAATACCACGTTGATTTAATTTTCTTCAAAATCTAAAATTATTCATACACCGAATATACCTTTATCGAACACTAGACAAGTCTGAGATTTTCTTTCTTAAAAATGTAGATTTAATTTTTTTTCTTATTTCAGCTGCCCAATTCACGCCATCTTGGACTTACACCAACAACGTGAACCTAGTGTCTACTTCTGGAATTTACTCTGGGAAGGCTGGTTTGAAGACTGGATCTGGTAGTCTGATAGTTGCTGATTTACAGAAGAATTGTGAAAATGGTACGTCATTCTGTTATTTGCTGCTGTACACAGAGACTTTATATTGAGTAGTACTCAGAATGGCAAAGTGTGGAGAAGATGGTCTTTACCGTGTATGACTATAAGCATGAATACGATGGTAGCAAAATAAAGGACACTATGAAAACACAATACTACATAGCGGCTTCATCAGCTTAAAGTGCCCACTGCTGAGAAAGGGCCTTTTATTACACGGAGATATTGAGAGCATTAATCACCACGCTTGCTCAAGATGGATTAGGGATTTCAAACTTGCAAGAATTAGTTTCGCTAAGGCTATCTATTTTCGCAAAATGTATGAACGTAGATATAATGCATTCGATTTGAATTCTAAATTTTTAAAGTAATATAGCTTCTACAGACATCACTAAATACCAACGCCGCTTTCAACAATCCAAATATTTTCATGTTTACAATACAACAGTTGATCGTGAAGGTGACTGATATTTTCGCACGTTTGATTATAAACATGTTTTCCTCAGTTTATCGACATGTAAGCATCGTACGATGTCCGATAATAATCATAGAGCAAATTGCGTCATTTAGTGGTGGGAATAATGACGCGTCTAATGTTCTGTTTAGATTTAGTGTTTTATTAAGATGTTTCTTATTCTCTTCCTTCATATATTAAGAGAAGAATAGGTAGGTTCAATTGCTATATATAAAGTTTCTTCAATACATGGGTGAGTAGGTAGCTTAACAGTGGATGCGTTTTGTCGTAAGATTTTTTATCACCAGACAAGTGATGAAATGCTGGATTTTCCATTACTTTTACTTGGTTTCAGTTGCCTTGCAAATATGAAAAAGACGTCAATGTTTTCGTTTATCCTATTATCATTTGAAACATGAATTTCTAATACTTCTTATATAAAATACATGACAAATGAAGATGAAATTATGCATATGATTTTTTTTGAAACCTTGGAAAATCTAATGGTAATTAGATTTAATGTCAGGTGTCTGTGTAATTGTAATTGTGACAATGACATTAAATAATGCCAGAAAATTACTATTAACAAAAAAAAAATATATATAAATTTATTATTGCGAATAGGCCATAAAGCAGCACTTAACTGCACATCAAAATGATATATAAAACTATGTAGATGACGCCGGCAATTCCTATAATGCTCAACATACTGAAAATACCTTACCTTATGAACTTTCTTGGATATATACCATTGGATATAGAATTGCACAGTCAATACAAAATCATATGGCACCTGAAATACTAAAATCCAGGAATCATCCTTGGTAATGACCTTTGATATGCCCATTTATCAATACGCTGCCAAAATATAATGTGATTAGTAACGAAAAATGCATTCATTCTTTACAGAAGTATCAGCTGTCCCATTAGTGGTTACTCCAGAGAACTTTTTAGCTGAGGATCTGAGCCTGTACGTGATGAAGCAGTTGGACTTGCAGGCCAGCGCTAACGGGTACACGGAGACCATCTGCCATAGGAGTTTCTGCTGCGATTTCTATGTTGAGACTGCTAAAGGTAAGATTCTAAATGGATTGTGATGTGATTTTTTTTAAATCTTGAGTGTATTCCTATTTTTGCTATTTGGTTATGGGGATTTGAGATTTTCTTCATAACATAATAAATATCACGAATATAGGCATAAATCATCTAAATAGATTCAGAAAGTATACAAAACGCGTTTGTTTCTTGAACCAAAAGAAAAAGGTAAAGCTTTTATAAAGTAAAATATATTTTTCTTTTAATTTCAGATGTCAAAACCGAGTCCACGTACAATTTGGCAACGTTCAACGGCGTCCGTCCGTTTGGTGCTAACCACAACGTTGCTACTCAAATTTGTGTGTTATCAGGGTAAGTAATTTTATTCATTCTTTCATTAAAAGCATACATCAGGTTCATTTCCATTCCCTCAATTCTCTCTGCAGCTAGAAAATAATTTTCTTCTTACTTGAAAATTGTAAGCTTTTTCATTGTAACGCCTCGTGTAATATAATAAGGAGTATAAAGTTAACTGATTTAAAGTTACAGTTAAACTAGAAGTCTTGCCAGTGCCTTTATTTGTATGTTTTTTGGTTGCAGATCTCAAAACAACGTCAACTTCGAAAGGATTTCCATAACTGCCAACTTTACAAAACAGAGCTCTCAATATCCAATCGTCCAATCAACAGCAGCGCTACCAACTGAAGCATTCAATTTCGAAGTTAAAAACAATGGTGTTACAGAGGTAACGTTGGAATTAGAAAATGGAAAGAACATTATGAATTTTGGTATTTTTGGTAAAAACGCTAACGTTGATTTGGAAAAGGATTATGTAGTAGAGAAAAATTCTACTGATATAGCTCAAAGTGATTTCGTTGAATACTTTTTCAATGAGGATGTTCAAGAGTTTGTAGATTACCTTTGGATCCGTTTACGAGTACTGATTGTCGTTGTTTCCATCTACTTTTTGGAGATGATGTAATTTATACAAATATTATATTGCGAAGGTCAAAGCAAATTGGTATAAAGTCTCTTTGGTACAAAGGTTTAAGAACCGATTTGAATTCTTATCCTCTGATATAAAGTATATTTCGAAATAGGATTTAATTGTAAACACTATGTTTTCGATGCGTTTTCTATATATCATAGTAGGAACATAATTAAAGTCAAAATCTGTTTACATAACCAAAAACGGAAAATCGGACTCTTGGATTGTAAATAAATCTTACATTATTATGTACCTTAATACAAAAGGTATCGTTGCCGATTTTGAGAAAGCTAATGTTTATTGGGATATGTCTGAATATTCTTTATATTGTGTGTTTGTGACAAAATATGTCAATTAATTGCTTAATGAGTGATAAGACTGTAAAATGTGTGTGGTGAGTCGATAAATACTTGATAATGATGTCTAGAATAATATTGTACCTTGTGGTAAAATGGTTGGAAATAGGTTTGCTTTGTACGGTCGGTAGATGGCGCTGTTCTATATTTAAAAAGTTACCAAAGAATTTGGTAAATCTATGCTGCCAATGTGAAAAGCTTTTAAGCTTATAAATATATAAGTCTACTTAGGAGTGGTTTAACAATGCTTTTTATAAAGTACTCAAGCAACTGAGATTTTTGTAAATGTCATTTTTTCAAAGGAATTATAATTAAAACATCATTATGGTATATAAATAATTATATATGGGTATTTCCTATTTTACGGAAAAATAGTATAGTTTTGTTTACCAATTTAGTAAAAACCATTCAATTTCACCTAGCACCATTCCCGGCGGCTTTTAAAACGAATAATACTAACTTGTTTTAAACTTTAATTGTAATGAAAGTTATTACAAGTGTTTTTATTATTACTGTAAATGGCTCCACATTTCGTATTTTTGTAACTAGATAATATGGTTTGAGATGCCATTTCTAACCCAATAATATTTATGTTTAAATATATTTCTAATTATAGCAAGACTATCCGATATAAGAACGAACCTATCCATACATATTATATTTTCCGTGATACAACAAATTTATTTAAATTACGACATACTAACGTGAGTTAACTGCGACCCCGTCTACAACCAGTTTTGAGTCACAACGGGATAATAGTATTTAGAGTTTTTTCCAGTTAATTCACGTAGGTAAGTCGTTATTTTCCTACTGTAGTTACTATGCGGTAATACAATTTTTATAACGCAAAAATGTTTAGTAACACGAAGTTTCGCTCTTCCAACACATAAGATTATTGCTTTAGAATATAATAAAGGAAATGTTAATAGAATATAATAATAGAATATAATTAAGGAAAAGTTTCTTGATGTGATATTTGGCTATGGATGTCATATACGGTATGTCATATTTTTTATTTGGTGACTTGTAAATTTGGATAAACGTAAAGTAGATCGTTAATATTGTAGAAATAATAAGTATATTCTCGACAATAACGGAAAAAATACACAATAATATAAAAATAAATTTAAACTAGTTTTCATCACGATAATGTTCTTAATGATGGGATATTTAAATTTAAATAAGTTTATATAATTGGTGAATTAGTTAGTTTTTTTTGCAGATGATAATACGGTACAATGTTTTCTATGTAATATTAAATCTATTTGTAATACAGTCGTGACAGACTGTCACTGTGATATTAGATATATGCATGATTTAAATATAAACATTTTTAATACTGAATATGTGACTTTTATTTTTACCAGACTACGGAAAGCAAAATGGTTCCCCCATAATTTTTTAAGCATTTCTCTGGTCAACCAGTATTATTGTTTAACACGAAACCTTATAGTAATGATAAGGACTAAATGGCTAATAAAATCAGATCAAAAAAGACAGGTGCCTTTTTTTAAATTTCGTATTTCAAATCAATAATTTGTTTGATTCAGTTTGATGTCGTGAAGTACCTAATGAGAGAATGGGTCATGGTTGAAATTTGTCGAGTGTACCTACCAAAATTTTTTTATATTGATAGTCTGATAATATTCGTGTAATTAAAATAAATAGTTATTTTTTACTTTTTGCAACTTTTTAATATTCTGTACAATGAATATAATATTAAATTAAATATTCCTATTTATAAAAGCAGTTAGAACCTACCACCTGTTGTCGCTAATTGGGTAATTTCCTTAGTCAAAAAGAAAAAAAATTTCAACCTAAAAATTGAAAATAATCACATTTACATTCATTAATTTTACAATATACAATTTTTTGTATTTCTTACTATAATATTATAAATACGAAAGTTAAGATGTTTGGATGTTTGTTACTTAATCACGCCAAAACGGCTGGACGGATCTGGATGAAATTTGGCACAGGCATAGGATACCTACACTCCGGAATAGGACATAAGCTACTTTTTATCAACATACAACGCGGGCAAAGCCGTGGGCGAATGCTTGTTTTTAGATAATTTAAGAGGAATAATTAGGCAATATGATGTATAAAACTTGTAACCTCATTTGAAAATATTCGTTTTTGACATTTTGGAAAAGAAAAAGTATGAAATTTGACTGATCGGAAATTACCCTGTTGCTATAAACACATCAATGCCTGTTAGTCCTCCTGTGGCGTCTGTGGTCCTCTATGTACCGAACGTGGTCCTGGTCATCATCATACAAGGTCTTCTCTATCCATCGCATGTACGCTTCCACCTGGAAATATAGGAACAAATGAATAATGTCAAAAAATTCTTGACATAATCTAATCTTATAACCGAATGCTGTTCTGAGACTTATTGATATTTTATAAAACCTTTTATGTAACTGTATTACTATATATTAAGAGCAAATAAATCCTTTGACTTTAACGTACAATACGGTCGCCGTATCTTGGCGAGTCTGAAGTTAGACGATTAGCTGCGCAGTACACAATTTTGTCCCTAAAAGATCCATTGCGCAGACAAACGGCTAACTTCAGACTCGCCAAGATACGGCGGCCGTACTGTAACTGATGAGTCTAGGATTTGTATTGATGCAAAGCAAACAATTCTGGGGTTAACAAATGCCTTCTATCGCCCTGGGAGGAGTAGTCAGACTCCCCGTTGAATATCAGTCCGTTTGAGCCCCACCTGTATTGGTCTATTGGCTCTTTGAGGCGTCGCGAAACTAATGTTCTCACATAATGAAATCGACTTAGTTTTTTGCACCTTATTCCATGGAATCTACACTTTGCAACGAGCAAATATATAGCTTCGCTAGCGGACTGAAAGAACAGACCCATTTTACTTTTAAATCGTTGACGTTCAAAAGTGCTTATCTGATTCTGATTACAATAAATAGGTATTTGAATATTTATAGGAACAAGATAAGTAGGTATTTGTTTTCATTAGTTTACCGTACCTTAGTGTAGACATCAGGTTTTCCTCTAGCGCAGGGAATGCCCCAAGACACAATGCCGATCTGACGACCTTCTCGTACCAGTGGACCTCCGGAGTCACCCTGAGGAACCATAGACATTTATACGACATAGGTATATATGTATAATAACTCTTTATCTGTCACAGACACAGATAAAAAAGATGCTTTCAAAAGGATACAGAAATGTCTAGACTGAAAATCAAATTCAGATCAGGAATACTGTTAAAATTTATAAATATGTAACAGAATTATGAAAGAATAATAAAAGAGAAAAATACAACAAAGTTGATAATCGCTTACATGACAAGCGCCTTCTCCAGCCTTCGTTAAAGCACAGATCTGAGTTTCAAACACGGGATTTATGCTCTTGTGAGCTTCCTTACACTCCTCGTAGGTAATGGATCTTAGTTCCAATTGCATTAAGTCGTTGGGTACACGACCAGGGTACTGTGAACAATTAAACGAATATATTTTTACAACGAATAAGCAATAAGTTCAAAACAAAAATACGCACGTTAGATATAAATTGCTATTAAGATTTTACAAGGCGTTGAAAAACATTTGTGTTTAAGCAATCATTAGTTTTTTAAATATCTATTCAATTTTTTTTCTAGAAAAATTCATTGCAAAAGTACAACTTAAAAATAATTTTGTTGTTATAATAATAAAACTCGTCACTTTAACAATTCAATAAAGATGGGTGACGTAAAGTGGTTTATCTAACCCCTTTTACGTACGAAACAGGTAGGCAGAGGAGAGATGTCATGACACTTAAATTCAAATTACGATACATAACTCACCGAAGTTGTCCCCCACCCCGTCAACAACAACTCCTCCCCTTTTTCAACGGGCTCGTCATTTAGTTCCACAGCGTCAACTTTCCTTCCAAAATCCATTTCTTGTTCAGTAAAGAGTATGGCAATGTCATTCTTAATGATGTAATCGTCATAATCTTCATGTACCACTATCTTCCGAATGTCGTAGGCTGTGCCTCCAGCCAGCAGCTGGTTTGTGCCCACAACTGCTTTGAAGTACCGGGGAGCTAGTCTGAAAGAAATCAGATAGACTAGATAGTCAGATAGACTTTAATTGTTTGAGTTTAATGGTGATACTAAACTTAATAAAAAAACCACTGAAATAATTTAGGGAAAACATAGTGAGGAACACTTAATAGACGAAATTTGTATAAAACAAATTATGTGTCGTCACAAAAGACATTAAAAAGCCAGAAAGTGTAAGTTTTTTTTTTTATAAAAGCTGTCTAAATAATCCATTTTTACTATCCTATAAATTGTCTATATTATTGTTCAAAGATCCATCCATATGTAGAAGCGAGCGTTTAAAGAAAGGTACTTGCGCCTACAAATAATTTCATAGCAAACATTTACATAAAAGCTTTTTGCTATAATGACTACAGAAAATATTGATTACGAAAATTTTACAAATATAAAAGTTTTAGTAATAAAATATTGTAATAAAAACTCGATAATTATTGAAATTACAGTATGAATTTATTATAAAGCTTGTATTTTGTGAAAAAACTGTATTTTTTTCTCACCTATCGACACAATGGGCAGCCGTAAGAATGACCCGAGGGGTGACTAGGGAAGCTCCGCAGAAGTGCCACACGCCCCATAACCGTAGAGAGACCTGGTAGGGTATAGACCCATTAGGGGCTTTTATCCCACCCACTATTCGTTCCCATTGTTCCTGATCTTCGGGAGTTGAAGAAGAAAAGAATTCTGATGATACTGAAAAAATCATGAAAAACATTATAAAACAACCAAATCAAGATAAAAATATACTAAGGAAAAACTAAACTTATAATGATTTATTTATCAAAAAGTAATTGTCAGAAGTGGGATTCGAACCCACGCCCACAGAAGTGGACTGCGACCTGAACGCAGCGCCTTAGACCGCTCGGCCATCCTGACTTATTAAAGATTGTTGAAATTAACAATTACCTCCTACAAATCAGTCCGTATAGATAAAAATAGACTATGACGTCACAGGTAGTTGATAGAATTGATAAATTCACTTAGCGTGGATTGCATGCGATCAATAGCAAAGTAGTAAGCAAGTATAGACTTTAATTGTATAGTTTTAAGGTTCGATAGCCTTTGTATGACGTAGTTGACATTGTATGTAATTGGAGGTCAGTTAATACTACTTAGTTACTATGCAGATGTAGTGATTTAACTGTTCAATATATAGTTTTTTCCCGACTGCGGCAAAGACCAAAAGGAGGATAATGTTTGGTATATTAACTCATCAAATCCCAAGCGAACGCCGGTGTTTGCGCACATATTATTTTATATTGTGTCTTGAATTACTACGATTGAAAGGTTCAGGTTAATAATGAGAGTTTATTTTCATTTGTTTATTAAGAACCATCTATGGATTGAGCAGTAATGATAGGGTAGTATTCATACATAATTTACACACGGTTTCCGAAAGGCCGATCAATGTTAAAATCAATTTAACCTCTTGTCAAGTAATCTGATTGGTTGACTGAATTACCAACAACCAATCAGATGACTTGACAAGAGATTTAACAGGAGATTAGTTAATTTTAGCGTTGACAAGCCTTTCAGAAACCGGGTGTAAGGGCTGATTTTTCAACAGTCAAATAAAATTTTATCTGAGGAGTAAAATTGTTGCTGTCACTCTCTTATACAAACATTGTGACGCGACAGCATCATAATTATTGCCCGGGTAACTTTTATCTAACCACTAAAAATCAACACGAAAAAAAAAAATTAGACAAGACGAATTTAAATTTAGAAGAAGTTGGTGATCGTTACGTCACCGCTTACGTCGTCAGCCGGGGTTGCGGGGTAAGCGCAATGAGGCACCGCGACCTCGGCCCAGAGCAGGAGAAGGAACAGGGGGGTTTTTAGTCAGTATGAGTCTGACACTCCCTTCCGCCCAGGGCCGGGCGAAGAGAAAAAGGAGAAGTGATTTGATGATTTTACCCTCACAAAAAAAGTGTTTAGGTCGCCACACAATGTTTTCATTATATTTGATATGAATTTTCAAAAATATAAAAGTATAAATTATTTGATACGTCGCGTTCCGTGTGCGCCTCCAAGAGCCAATATACGCTAAAGGGCACTATAGGGCTGATGTTCAGCCGGGGTTGCGGGGTGCAAGCGCAATGAGAAACCGTGACCTCTGCCCAGAGCAGGAGAAGGAACGGGGGGGTTTTAGCCAGTAAGAGTCTGACACTCCCTCCCGCCCGGCCCTGGGCGAGAGAAGTTATTTGATGATTTTCGATGATATGATATGAGATGATAATTGTTTCTTTTTTTTTGTTGTTTTTAGTTGCATAAGTAATGGTGTAAGCAATTGTAATCTAAATAACTAAACAAAACTACCACATCAAAACTTTTTTGAAGAAAATTAAGATTTCTAATTTATCTAGCTTACATTTAGCATTCCTAGGTTCCTTCCTAACTTGATTAGGTTTCTGGTATCCAGTCAGACCATTAACAATAATTTCCACTTCAGATTTTTTAGGAAATATTACGTAATCTTTAATTTTGAACTCCATTGCGTCTTTTGTTTCTATGTGTGTTGAGTTTTGTAGTACTAACTCTTCATTGTATTTGCTATTCGATATTACTGTTTTTGTTCCACCTGGGAATTGAAACAGTGGTTCGTTAATATTTTATTTCGATATTGTTTAGGTACTATGAAGGTAATATGAAAAGTCGTTGTTTTGGCGGGAGTTCAAAATTTGGCAAATACCAATGAGACTTTGTCGAGTTCATTTCTAGAGATCCCTGATAAACGGTGAAGAAAAACATTGTAAGGAAACCTGAACTGTATAATTCATTTACTTATTTATAAGGCCTAATACCCAACACTAAGAACACGGAATAATAAGCAGGGTATAGAACGGGGTGGTTTTTAGTCAGTAAGAGTCTGACACTCCCTCTTTCAGGGTGCGAGAAGATATTAGATGATATTGCCTCCCTCAAAAAAAAAAACCTAAGTCTATGCATAAAAAAAAACTCACCAATAGAAAAGCAAATTCCAAAAATTACCGCCAAAACGAATCCGCCGGCGGCCATCTTGTTATACCACTTGAAAACTATGGAAAAGAAGAGGAAACTTTTCCGTTTATATACTTAGTGCATAGACAATTTAGTCTGACGCAATAGTTTATTTTTTGTACTAAATTCTTATGGTGATACCCCTATGGCGTGTGTATTACGTGCATTTAGCGAAGATAATGTAATGCCGTCATTATTTCAAGGTAGGTCATGATTGATGAGGTCAATTTTAAGTATTGGAGACCTATGCTTCGGCACGAATGGGACGGCTCGATCGAAGTGATAACACGGCCTCACATAAAACCAGCGTGAAACAATCACAGCCTTGTGTTTCGCTGTGTGAGTGAGGTTACCGGAGGCCCATTTCCTTTCCGATCCCTAAATCCACAAAAGGCCGGCACGTCACGGCCTCTGGTGTTGCGGTTGTAGATCGGCAGTGCCGATGGCCGTTTTATTTATTTCATTACCGTCAGGTACCTACTACGTTTCTCGTTTGCCGCTATATCACATAAAAAAGTAATAACATTCAATGAAGATCCTGAGAAAAAGAGAGAGAGAGAGAGAGAGAGAGAGAGAGAGAGAGAGAGAGAGAGAGAAAGAGAGAGAGAGAGAGAGATCATCACTATCATCATCATTATTAGCCCGACGATGTCAAAGACCTGCTTAACAATGGCCCTTCCTAAGAGACAGATTACTCAAATCGAAATTCACTACAGAACGCGTACGTGAAAATGCAGGGAACCGTTATTCGAGGCTTCTGTAAGCCTCTCTTTATGACCATTTCCGACCAATACATTGTTTAAAATTTAATATTAATATTCAATACCTATGTACATCGTACAGGAAATCGTCAATAAATAAAGTCATCAATGTAAATACTGTCGAGGATACAATTTAGAAAAGTAATCCCCCTGTATATGCGGTGCATAGCAAATTGCTTACGGGATCTTCACTATTTATAGGGCTCCGCTAAGTCTCGGTTCTCATATAATTTCTGCATACACCATATTATATTGGGAACATTATAATTTTAATGCTATTTGTAACAATTGTCCTAATTTTTCTTTTCGAAATTTCCATGAAAAGACTATCTGGATGAATTATTTTATGACTTTCCATTCAAATGAAGACTGTTATGACTACATGACAGTCTTATTTCGTTTCGACTACTAAGTCAAAAGGAACAGGATGGTTTTAAGTCAGTAAAAGTCTGACACTCCCTCTCATCTCACCCTTATAACTTTGTTCTGAAGTATGCATCAAAGGATAAAGTGTAAGAGAGACATGATTAGGCATGAATGGGCCGGCTCGACGAGAAGGTGCCTCGGTCACCCAGAAAACCAGCTTGAAACAACAGAACACAGCATTGTGTTCCGCTTGATTCAGATTGAGTGTGGAAGAACCATGCTTTGGCACGAATGGGTCGGCTCGACCGGAGTGATACCTCACAGAAAACTGGCGTGAAACAACCACAGCGTTGTGTTTCGCCGAGTGAGTGAGGTTTCCGGAGGCCCAATCCTTCCCCTCCCCTAATCTAAATCTCCAAATCCGTCGTAAATAAGGTCGTCAACGCACTCGTAACTACTCCGTTGCCGGTGTCCATGGGTGGCGCTGATTGCTTACCATCAGGTAATCCGTATGCTCGTTTGCCGATCTATTACATAAAAAAAGACTATAGGGGGCCAAATCTTACCCGACCATCCCTAACCATACCCCAAATTCTAGGAACGTACCCGTAACTCCTCTATCGATATAGGTGTCCTTGAGCCGATTGCTTAAGATTAGGTAATCTGTCGACACGTATGCCAAACAAACAAAAAAAAAAAAAATCCTATAAGCAGATTGCCAAGAACTTTAACTAGAATAATGAAATAGTTCACTAACAATATTACGATGACAAACTATGTAATAAAGCGGGTATTAAGATTCTTGACTGGCATCAACATACAGGATGTATGCAATTTGCGAGTTGTACTCCTTGACTACACTTACAGCTCTAATCGGGGGTGTGATGCGCATTATAATACAACTGTTGGGATTTAAGAATATTGACGAGTGGTTTCTGGGTTACCCTGTATACTAGGGTAAATAAAATAAATAAATTGGTTATTCGAAACACAAATGTAAATTTTGAAATACGACAAAAATATGCATTATCCACAAAAAAAATCCACGTGACTTTTTTATTTGATTTAATACTGTTTATGATTGATAACTACTCCTTCCTAAAGTGATAAGATTTGTCTATACTTAATATTATAAAGAGGTAAAATTTGTAAGTTTGTATGTAGGGGGTAAACTTTGGAACCGCTGGTCGGATTGCAAAAATTATTTCACTGATAGATAGCTACAATGTTCCTGAGTGCTACAGGCTATAAAACATCACGCTAGAAGTAAATGGAGCCGAGCAGCGAGTGAAACTGCGTGAGAGTTGCTCGTGTTTTATACGATGTTTTGTACCAGAATTAAAATTGTTTTTTTCATCACAACAGCAAGGAAGCTTTCTGCCTTCCTATCGGAGATAATAATTGTAATTCGATTTCTTCCATTAGGTATTATTTATTAGTTTCAAATTTTTAAGGACACTTTACGATGATGATTTCGATATCGTGTCTCTTGGAGTACACCTTACAGAAGATTCCTTTTTTTATTTTTATGCATGTAATAGGATGGCAAACGATATGTCCATGGACACCTGCAACAACAGAGGACTTACGAGTACGTTGACCTTTTGGGGATTAGAGATTTAAAGATCTTGGGAGTGGAAGAATTGGACCTCATTTACACGGCGAAACATAACGCTGTGGTGGTTTCACGTCGGTTTGGTAGCGGTACTGTCGGACCCCCATTTGTGCCGAAGCATGTCACTTGAAAGATTTGCCAACCAATTTTAAGCCTTCTCCAAAACATTCCCTACATCCTCATAGCGACAGCAGATGTTTGCGCCGGCGCCGATTGGCCCGCGCCGCATATGAATACAGTCATTACGCACACACGCGAACGTGCATATGCGCATAATGACAGACATTATGCCATACCGTCACATCTTTTATAATCCGGGGTAAGTATTTTAAAGGCTTTATAGTAGCCATTCCTAGCATAAATGTTTTATTACTAAATATATGGTCAATTCTTTGTATTTGTTGTGAATGGACTAGCGGGTCTTTATGCTATCGTGGCGCCATCTGCTAAAAAGAAAACCTATCGAGAGAATTTTATTTAAAAACTAATATAAAAAAAATATTTAAGGTTTTTTATGACATCGGTCGGCAAACGAGCAGACGGATTACCTGATGGTAAGCTATCAACGCCGCTCATGGGTACTCCTAATACCAAAGCAGTAGAGAGAGAGAGAGGAGGAGAGTATAAGTGCGTTGCAGGTCACTTTTGGCTTATCTATACTAATATTATAAAGAGGTAAAATTTGTAAGTTTGTATGTAGTGGATAGTCTTTGGAACCGCTGGTCGGATTGCCAAAATTCTTTCACTGATAGATATCTACAATGTTCCTGAGTGCTATAGGCTATAAAATATCACGCTACGATCAAATTTAGCTGAGCAGCGGGTGAAACCGCGCGAGTGTAGCTAGTTAGGGATATAACGATTGAGGATTGGGAAACTCACTAACATGGCGAAATACAACGTAAGTGTTTTCTGTGAGGCCGTGGTACCACTCCGGTCGAGCCGACCTATTCGTGCCGAAGCATGACTCCCACACTTAAATTTACTTCCATTTTTTGACGACAACTTTTATATTTGGTAATCCCCATGGTTGTTCTGAATGAAATTGACTGTTAGAGAATGCCTTAAGACATAAAGTCCGCCTTTCAGACTGTTTTGTATGAAGAAGAAATAAATAAATAAAATAAATAAATATAATGATATACAACAAGAACTTTTGTATCTCAAGATATTCATAGCGGGAATCTAACCTATGGCACATAACGAAGCAGCCAGTCACTTTACTACCCAGCCACTTCGCCAACCGATGCAATTTGGAATCAATTTACTAACAAATCCTTAAAAACGTGTACACAATGACATTTTGCATCAAAACGCAGTACCAAACACGCATTCCTTTATCGAAGTGAACTGCATACCATGTTCTGTTGTTGACCAGTATCTTCCTAAGTGACAAATACTGTCTCCTGCTCCGAAGGAGACGATACAGTGATATGTGGGAAGATAAAGTACTCATTGCTTTCGTTTTTGTTGCATGTTAGTATTTATTTATTTATTTTGATTTGTGTTAACTGCTAGTGCCAGGTGTGGGAGAGCCATGATTTGGCCCGATTGGTTCGGCTGTGTCCGTGTGAGTGAGATTATCGGAGGCCCAATTCTTCCCCTTCCCCAGTCCCAAATCCCTAATCCTCTAAAGGTGGGCAATGCTCTCGTAACTCCTCCGTCGTGCGGGTGTCTATGGGCGGCGCTGATTGCTTACCAACAGATAATCTGATTGCCGTCCTATGACATAAGAAAAACAATGTAACTTTTTCCGTGTTGTATGTACTCTTTAAGTTTAAACGAGAATTTTGAGAGGAACCCTTTTGATGCCCTGGGTGGGATGAGAGGGAGTGTCAGACTCTTACTGAACAAAAATCCCCCCGTTACTTCTTCGCCTGGACACCTGCCAGTGGGTCAAAGAGCCACCAGATGGAGTGGTTAATGTCAGACTCTTACTGACTAAATACCAATCCGTTTCTTCTCCTTCTTCGGCCCAGATCAATACATTATTGAGTGTAATAAATGCTATATTATATTTTCAGGCGTGGTTATAATAAAGTGTCAGTTCTTCGACTGCCACGATGATCCAGGGTTCAGTCCTGATGAAGGGCCTCTATCGGAACTGCAGTTCACATGGCTGGGAGCGCTGCAGTATATACATAGTGAGACACTTCCCGATAAGTAGATGAACATTATTTAGATTGCTTTCTCAAGGTCTAATTTAATAATAATTTACTACAATATACTATTTCCATAGTTGTCATTTCTACCTGTCCATAGTCACCCACTATTAGACAGCCATATTGTTTAAGCGAATTATGTTGTATTTTGCTTGTGGGATTAGATTTTAACTAAAACGACGTGATTTCCGTACACCTCTTATATTTGAACTTAAAAAAAAGGTTACGCAGTGTGGACTGTATACACATATGCACATAAATATAGCTTCTCATAGTTCGAGTACAATTCTCATTGGACACATATAATTTTCTACCAAATTGCAAAATAGTCGGAAAATGGCCGTCTGGTTGTTCCTTATATTATTTGTACATTTTATTTTCTCCCCTCAGTGAAGAACGGTACTCCTCACTACTTCAGAGTGCCGCGAGTGATCCTCATCAGCCGACAGTTTGTGCTGTCCACAGCCATCGATGCAGCGCAGATACCCGAAGGATATGCGCTGTATGTAAACTTTTAAAGTTTGTTTTATTTTGACCTTATCATCAGAAAATGGGTTTTTACAAGCTAAACGTATTTAGAAACCACTAAAATACGATAAATTAAAATAAACATATTGAAGAAAACTGGACCTAGAAACCTTGAACTTATAAAGTTTGAAATCGTTAATTTTTATCCACCTTGAGCAATTTGATTATTGCTCAATCCTTGTAAGTCCAAGTATTAGAAGGGGCCTTTGCTCAGCAGAAAACATTTTTTAGAGGCGGGCCTCGAGGGCTTGCATGTGGGAGAGTCAGACTTTTACTGACCAAAACTCAACCCGTTCCTTATTCTGGTCAGAGCCGGGGCCCAGGTTCATTATTGTGCTAGAACCGCAATTCCGGAGGAAATAAGAGGCTTCTTTTGAGGAGAGGCATTCTTCAAATGGCTTCTCTTACCGTCGTATGGCGAAAGGGAGTATAACGCTCTTACTGTGCCTGTTGCGATGAACTGTCGCCTTAGCCTAAAGCAGGGGAAGGAACGGGGCGTTTTTTAGTCAGTAAGAGTCTGACAGTCTCTCTCGCCTGACTCAGGGCGGGAGTGGTTATTTGGTGATTTTTCCCTTACCAAAAAAAGACTGACTAAAAACTATAGGATATAGGATAGATCCTGTTGGTCTCATCTGTACTGGTCTATCCCATCAGTATGAATGGCACTTAGAGGATGATGATGATGAAATAAAATTGGTGAAATATCCAAAGCGTCTTTTCAGTGGTAACGTCATTTTTGGAGATTACGAGCGAGATGAGGTGGAATGCCGAGTGTCAATAGACGATATAGCGGCCGGCACTGAGTGTGAACCTGCGATACTGCTGATGCCCATAGCTGATGTACTGCTGCACCCTGAATATAAGCACTTCGGAGCCAAGTACAGCGTGGCGCTCCTCAAGCTAATCACGCCTGTTAAATCAAGTAAGGTTCAGTTCCATAACAATGTTTTTGTTACGGATTACGTGATGGTAATCAATCTGCGCCGTCAATGGACACCTGCAACAAAAGAGAAGTTACGAGTGCGTTGGCGACCTTTTTGGGGATTAGGGATTTGGGAGATTTAGGGATTGGGGAGGGTTTGGAGAAGGGGAAGGCCTTCGGTAACCTCACTCACACGGCGAAACACAACGCTGTGGATGTTTCACGCCGGATTTCTGTGAGGCCGTGGTATTTCTCTGGTCGAGCCGACCAATTAGTGCTGAAGCATAGCTCTTCCACACTTGATAATTGTATTAAAAATAACGACTTAATTAACTGAGAAAAGCTCGACTAGTTACAAGTTACAACGGGACTCTTATTCATGAGCAGCGTGCGCGTCGCGGCAATAAAGATGCTACCTTCCTTAATCAAAGTTTTGCTCAAGAATAAAGTATCGTTATTTCCTTAACACGTCGCGGTGGCCCGGAGCTTGACCGCCCGCTTCTCATGCATGAGGCCTCGAGTTTCAAACCTGGCAAGTACCAATATGACTTTCCGAGTCATATGTACTTTCTATGATTATTTAGACACCACTGACAAACGGTGAAGGTAAACATCGCGAGGAAACCTGGACTTATCATTTCTAATTATAAGTTTGAAATCGCCAACCTGCATTGAGCAAGCGTGGTGATAAATGCTCAAACCTTTTCCTTGTGAGAAGAGGCTTTTGCTCAGCAGTGGGCACTTATAGACTGATGATGTGTATGTGTATTTTCTTTTCAGAATACATGCTACCAGCTTGTCTGCCATTTAAGGATTATATTGTGGACAGAAATGGAAGACTGACCAAGCAGAGGCTGTATCACATTGATTTTCCCACTGGTAAGTCAAATACATAAGAATCTTTTTGGAGTAAATCATCATCAGACTTGTCTCATAACGCCCTGGGATTGGCGAGAGGGAGTATCAGTCTCTTACTGACTAAAAACCATCCAGTTCCTTCTTCTGCTCCGGGCTGGGGCAGCTGTTATGTTATTATTGTGCTTGTACCCGCAATTCCGGCTGAATATCAACCCCATTGAACCTCAATTGTGATGATCTAATATCCCCTTTTTTTGCCATTACAAGAAGCTATCCCAAGCAAGCATAAGTGTGGGAGAGCCATGCTTCAGCACGAATGGGTCGGCTCGACCGGAGTGATACCACGGCCTCACAGAAAACCGGCGTGAAACAACCACAGCGTTGTGTGAGTGAGGTTACCGGAGGCCCAATCCTTCTCCTTCCCGGACCCTTCCCCAATTCCTAAATCTCCAAATCCCTAATCCCTAAAAGGTCGGCAACGCACTCGTAACTCCTCCGTTGCGGGTGTCCATGGGCGGCGTTGAGTCTTACCATCAGGTAATCCGTCTGCTCGTTTGCCGACTAATTACATTAAAAAAAAACCCTATTGCGCTTGATTCTTGATTGTTCCTTATTAGCAACCGCAGCCTCAGCCTAGAGCAGGAGAAGGGACGGGGGAGTTTTTAGCCAGTAAGAGTCTGACACTCCTTCTCGCCTCACCCTGGACGGGAGTAACCATTAGATAATATTCCCTTCACAAAAAATAAAGGGCAATTATCAGTTTGGTGATTTATTTACTTTCACTTTCAGATGTGCCCAGAGATTTCATAGAAGAAGAAAAAGATGTGCAAAGGATTTCTATATTACCAAGAGAACTTTGTTTTCTATATGAAAAGTTAGATGTAAGTGAACTTAAGATTGTTAAATGTTATGATAATAAGAATAGGTTGATAAAGAAGTAGACGAATTAGCTGATGGCAAGCAATTGGTGGCGGATATGAACACGCATAATATCAGAGATCTGTATTTCTGGAATTTTCGGGGTTTGAAGACTTTGGTTAGTATAAAGATGGACAACAGGAACTATCTATCAGTAAAATAATTTTAGAAATCTGACCAGCGGTTCCAAAGATTACCCCCTACATACAAACTTACAAATTTTACCTTTATATAATATATGTAGGTTTAGGAACGTATACAGGATCAAGTGAGCGTCCTAATAAAATATTCGTATTGTCCTTAGAATGCTACGAAAATGACTCAAAATCGTATGACCTGTACGACTGGCTGCGGGTTTCACTCCGGTGCTCCAACCCTGGTTCACGAACATACCGGCCACTGGTCCATTGTCGCCTTATCTCATGGTATGAATAAGAAAACGTAAACTTAATTCATCAAAACACAGCGAACCGCATCGAAAGGAGAGTTGCATTTCTGGGCAAAGCATTTCGGTTATTTATTGTTCATATATCCATATATCCTATTGTTCAAAGTGTAAAAAAGTTATTGGGATACTATTTTCACAAAAAAACTAGAGTAACTATATTTTTACCAACATTATTAACAAACTTGAAAATAAAAAGTAGAGAAGTGTCAAGGCAAACCCGGATGGACGATTTTTATTGTTAAACTTTATAAATTTGTAAATGTGAGTGCTCTGTCACTTATAACAATTAGTTAGACTAGCAGAATGTCGGTCCTTATGTCAGCTTGGAGTTGTCATGCTCACTTAAAGGTCACATTGGCGGTGGCACGGTCAATGGATCGCTCGATTCCCTATATCATGGTTGAGTTGGGCGATGCTGGTGTACGTGTCATGTTCGTGAACGGGCGACGTCAGTTGGGACTGGTCAGCTCCGGACTGTCTATTGTCCTTAAGGTTATTTTCTTTTTATGTTTCTCTGTGTACACGCTTCACACTGTTCTCAGATAATCAAACCAACTAACTGTACAGTTGTCTTCTTCTGAATAATTTGCGTTAGTCCTTCTTAGTTTGACGATAATAATGTTTTCAATGCAGGTGGGTCCCCCTGCCCAGATCCCCTGCGTGTCCGTCGTCCTCCAGCGCCACCACACCACATCATGATCCACCCCTACGTGCCGTGGATCACTGCTGCTATCACCGGAAAAGCTGTGGGAGCCTTCGCTAAGGATGATCCTTTTGGTAAAGACCACGTTACCGTATGATTTATCATCATCATTAACGAGAAGACGTCTATTGCTTTTAATGACAAACGAGTAGACAGATCGTCTGAATGCAAGCAATCGTCCGTATGGACACCTGGAAGACCAGAGGAGTTATAATTGATGACCTTTTAAACTGTGTCCATGAGCAGCGATTGCAATCAGGTCTTCAGAAAGATAATTTGTCTTGTCTCAAAGATTGGAATTACTAAAACTTATAGTAACGTGACCAGAAGTATAGTTATAAAAATATAAGGCAATTTTACTTACTTTGTTTTAATATCTGCTGGGCAGGTTTCATCATGCCCAGAGCTTCCATCTACGATTTCATTGCCCACGGTTGGGTGGGCCACTGGTGGATGGGAGGGTTGCGGTGCTACGACAGAGGAGAAGCCGCTGAGGACTTGTTCAAGTTCTACCACGAGATATTCCAGATTAATCCGGTTACCGAGACCTTCCTTACCTATTATTTGGAGGCAAGATTTTCTTTCTTACTTATTTTTTTTAAACATAAATTGTACTCGCAATAAAATCAAAATTCTTTTGAGCTGAGACAGATTCAGTTAGCTTAACAATGATAGCGAACTATTTGTTTTTCGGTTATGTTTAATGTTCAGATTTTTTTAAATGACATCTTCCTCGCAGTGTTATACTCTCCCTCTCTCTCTCTCTCTTTCTCGACTCTTACCCCTCCCCTCTGGTTCCTCCTCCTGCTCTAGGCCGAGGCCGTGATGGTCTGTTAATGATTCTGATCTGATGTGTGAATATTGTCATCAAATCGTATATGAGTAGTGACATTTCCTGATGAGGATCTAGTTCAAGATACGCTGTACGAACCGCTTGCCCAGGCACTGTGAAACCATAGTATCAACCATAAATTGTTTTCGTGTGTCTAGATTGATGCTGCCAAAGGCACTTTGATCGTCTGCGTGAAGGTTGGTATGCCATACCAGCTTGGTCAGCCTCGAGTGTGGGAGCTTGACAGTCCCATCGTCAAGGTATGGTTTTTATTCTCCCAAAGGAACATTTACATTAGGTAAATACAAGTTAGTTTCGCAAAAACACACACTAGATGGCGTTATTGTATTCATTTTAGAAGAGCACTAGTTCCAACTTATAGAACTAGATGGCGTTAGTAATATACGTCCTAATATGCGTTCAACGTGTTGTTTTCTCCATAGATTGACCATAATGCTTTGTGATATATTATTTATAGAGATTAGATTCCTATACGGATATATGTTGGCTTTTTGCTCTCTGGGATTAGTCGACAATCGAGACATGGACACCAAACGACGACAAGAGATTTGATAATTGGGGACTTAAAGATTGGGGATGAGAGAAAAGGATCCTTCTTCTCCATTCAAAACTACAATTTGGAACGAGCACCTAACTTCACTGACGAATAGACTGACAGACTACTATTCTATTTTGACGTTTCAAAAGTTCCTATTTATGGTTTAGTTGGATTAAATGATTTTGATTCGCAGATAAACTTTGTGAACTACAACGTTGTGTTTCGCCTTCTGACTAAGATTACCGGAAACCCAATCCAAATCAAATCATTGATTGATATCATAATAGTTCACAAAGTTTATCTGTGCTGTATCGTGCCGAAGCTTGGCTCTTAAACTCATTGAACTTTTCTATTCTCTCTAACAGGTCCGTATTCCAATGATAAAGTTCTACGACACGTACAAGTTTCAAGTGGAGGCGTGGGGTTATAATGCTACAGAATCGGATGAATCTCAAAATGTTACCGACTTTGATAGTGGGGATCGACGTTGAAAGGAAGACGTTAGAGTCTGACAGAATATTTATTTTGTACGAATTCAGTTTGTTAGTATATGCTTGTACAAAATAAAATAAATGTGAAAAAAATGTGAAGATTACCTACTAGGTAAATAAAAATAAATTGTTTAAAAAAAAACCAAAAAACTCTTTTAATTAAGTATAAGTCCTCGTAATCAGGACACTAAAAGCAGTTGGGTTTCACATCACCAGCCTATAAATGCTCAATGCTGAGTGTCCTCAGGCCTTTTTTCACACGGAGAAGGTTTGGGCATTAACCACCACGCTTGCTCAAGTTACAAATCATAAGATCAGGTTTCCTCAAGATGTTTTCCTTCACCGTATGTCAGTGGTGTCTAAATCATCATAGAAAGTCATATTTATCGTAAAAAGTGACATTGGTACTTGCCAGGTTTGGGACATGCACGCTTATCTGCCGGGGCACCACGACGTGTCTGATACCTTATATAATCCTTATATAATCTCTAAATAATATCCAACTTTCTTCTTTTTTTTTATGGGATAGGAGGCAAACGAGCAGACGGATCACCTGATGGTAAGTGATCGGCGCCGCCCATGGACACCTGCAGCACTAGAGGAGTCACAGGTCCGTTGCCGGCATTTTAAGAAGGAGTGCGCTCGTTTCTTGAATATTTGAAGGTCGTATCGGTTCGGAAGGTGCCGGAAGATCGTTTTAAAGTTTTGCTGAGTGGGACCGCCCTAGTAAGATCAATTCAAAGTTTTGTTGGGCGGGGCAGGAAGATTCGCGAAAATCTCACAGTTGTTGGCTGCCAACCATCTTTGTGTTTTTTTTTTATGTAATTGATCGGCAAACGAGGGACAGCCGCAACACCAGAGAACTTATGAGGACCAGCCTTGTGTATTTCGGAGATTCAGGGATTGAGGTGTGATACGGTAAGGAAAGATTGGGCCTCCGGTAACCTAACATACACGGCGAAACACAACGTACCTAAGTGTTGCTTCACGTTGATTTTCTATGAGGCCTTGGTATCACTCCGGTCGAGCCGTCCCATTCGGGCTGAAGCATGGCTCTCCCACATTTAGCCAGCATTCAAGATTTCCTTCTAAACAGAGATACGCGTGCAAAACAGACATATTAATGGCTTCTTTTGTAGTGCATTCAGATAGTCTGAGAGAGCTGTAACTTAATATTAAAATACAGCTCGGTACCTTTATGGACGAGTGTAATAAAGACTTTGATCACTTCACGATGTGATACTGTACTGAATAAACAGTAATACCACTGGTAAAATATTTTACTTTCAATGACGCTTAAGTACAACTGAGTACAACAGTTTTTTATGGGCTTCAGCTTACTTGCCTTGGATGGGGTGACAGGGAGTGTAAGACTCTTACTGACTAGCCAATAGACCACCACATACGAGGCCCTATAGGGCTGATGTTGATGTGAGGCAAGCGCAATGTAGCACCTTGGCCTCGGATTAAAGTAGGAGAAGGAACGGGTGGTTTTTAGTCAGTAACAGTCTGACATTCTCGCTTTTCCGTGGGCGGGAGAAGTCATTTGATGATTTTCCCCTGACAGAAGAAAAAGACTTTTACTGTCTAAAAACCACCCCGAGAAGGAATCTCCTGGTCCAGGCTGGAGCTGCGGTACATTACTGACCTTGAGGCGCAACCCTGAAACCGCACAGTCAAATAAAATTTGTATATTGTATAACTTAACCTACCGTTCAACATACACTGTAACAATACTCACAACTCAATATTTATGATTGCAACGATTAAAACAAAAGGGGCGTGGCCACTAAATCGTTTTGCTAACAGGCGAATGCAGCAATAAAAAGAAAATAAGGCAAACAGAACCCTGTTTCTTGTTGTGTAAGATATGTTTTGTATTGTATGTTTAAATGAAGATGCAAAAACCAATGTTTGATAAGCGGAATGCAAGGTTCAAACAAAAGTAATAAATGTATTTGCTGTACGGTCAGACGGTACTTAATAACTTGAAAAATATTTACCTAAAGGTATATTTACTTAGCGGACCACTCCTGCTTTGTACCGATCTCCAACCACCTCGCTACCGACGAAAGAGTAAAAAGAATCCGCAACCCAGGCTGAACATTGGCTCTGTTAGGCATTTTTTTTTGTGAGAAAAAATCATCAAGTTCCTGCTCCCGCCCAGGGTCGGGTGGTAGGGAGTGTCATACTCTAACTGACCAAAAAACCCCGTTCCTTCTCCTGCTCTGTCGGTCGAGAGCCGAGGTCGTGGTGCCTCATTACACAAAACATCAGCCCTATAGGGCCCCGTCTGTAGGGGTATATTGGCTCTTTAAAGTGCGCGTGGAACGTTACGCGCCGTACGCTTGGGTCTGGTTCTGGTCGGGTGGCAAGCTATCCTTACTCGCCGTCTGCAGAGCCAACGCCTGGAGTGTCGCCTGCTGCGGGGGCTGGGGCATGTGAAGGATAGGTTCCATAGGCGCTCCACAGCCTTCTCTGCGAGTATCACAGAAGGAAGAGATAGCTTCCCAGCTCCTCTCGCTCCGCGCCATGGCCTTGACTAAGGCCGGACGAGAGATTGTCCCTAAGGACACGGCGATGCTCAATTCAAGCAGGGCACACCGCCTCCGTATGCTCTACCATATCCTCTAGGTGGTCCTCATTATGACGACACCCGGGCGTTTCCTTCCGTCTCAAAAAAGGGCAGGGCGCTCTTTGCACGCATGAAAATTGGGAGTCTTTACTTAATTTACAAGCCACTACAACAACCACATGGTTACATAAAAGTTACCTGGGGAGTAATTATGATGCTGTCGCGTCATAATGTTTGTATAAGACAGTGACAGCAACAATTTTATTCCTCAGATAACTTTTATTTAACCATTGAAAAATCAGCCCTAGAACGACTTGATTTGCAATCTCTCCTTCGAATCATCACGGCTCGGTAAACGAACATGGCGTGGTAGATTGCATGCCTTTTATGCGTCGCAGCATTTAATATTGTGACGGAAAACTCTTTGACATCATGACGTCAAGGGATGGTTGTCAAACGTTGCCTAGAGATTGTAAATTTCGTCGTGAATTGTCAACACGAGTTGGTGTAATCGGTAAGGCGTGTGGATTACACCACAGAGACCCCGAGTTCGAGTCCCGCCGTAAACATGAAGTTTTTTAGTTGATGGAAGTTTTGTCGAACTTTCTGGAATTATTTGAGTGAAAGAAATGAAAAATTAAGGAGCGAGAAGGAGAATAAATAAAAATGAATAACGAAATTATTGGAAGGTTCTGGAGGCATGACGATCAAAAAGAATAACGAAATTGAATGTTCTAGAACCTGACCGGGGGTATATAAGCGGAACTGCGGCTCACCGCTGGCAGTTGAGTTCTAAGTCTAAAGCGATTCGGAAGAAAAGGAAGAAGTGGAAAAGAAGAAAAGTGAGTGAAATAGTGAAGTGCAGTGAAATAGTGAAGTGCAGTCAGTTAAGTGAGTTAAGTCAGCGTGAACGGCAAAGTTGTGTCAGTCGGCCGGACTCTGCTGGAGAAGAACGCCGATAACTTAACTCCGTGGACGCTGTAACTTAAGTGCAATAGAAAGTCTGAAAACCGGTATTAGTGTTTCATTTCATCCAATCCCGTAACCCAAGCCCGCATAGTCAGGAACGTGACGTCAGGCACGTAACATTTGGTGTCAGAAGTGGGATTGGAGAAAAATGCCGCTAGTGCCGCAGGACGTAAGAGGAGTGAGTACCCGTGCAATGTCAGAAGCGCAGCGTGTGAGGGAAGAGGGTGCTGCAGCTCAAACCAGCGATGCAGAAGCCAAGCCTGTGCAGGTGGATCTTCTGCTACAGCTGCAGCAAATGATGGCAGAGCAAGCGCGCCGCCAAGAAGAGCAAGCGCGCTGTCAGGCAGAACAGCTGCGGGAGCTGAAAGAAGAGCAAGCGCGCCGCCAAGAAGTGCAAGCGCGCTGTCAGGCAGAACAGCTGCGGGAGCTGAAAGAAGAGCAAGCGCGCCGCCAAGAAGAGCAAGCGCGCCGCCAAGAAGAGCAAGCACGCTGTCAGGCGGAACAGCTACGGGAGCTGAAAGAAGATCAAGCTCGTCGCCAAGAGGATCAAGCTCGCCGCCAAGAGGAGCAAGCGCGTCGCTTGGAAGAGATGCATAAGGATTTCACGAAGGGACTGCAAAAGGCTGTCGAACGGGTACAAGAAGTGGAGGAAGGGTTAAGCAAGTTGGAACATCGCGTCATGGCGATAGAGGAGAGAGTGAAAGAAGAGATCTCCAAAATCAAGCAGGAAGTGACAAGCCCAAGCCCTTTGAACAGCCGAAGCCGTCTTGCAGCCGTTTTTGACGCCCCAAATGTGGCCTCAAGCGCAACGAAAGGGCTCAAGATTCCCCATTACGACGGAACAACATCCTGGAACGCGTTCAAGCTACAGTTTGAGACACTTATGGAGGCTTATGGTTGGACTCAGAAGGAAGCACAGTCAGCCCTCACCCTGGCCCTCCGTGATCAAGCGCTCTCAGTGCTGGAAGCTATCGGCGCAAGTGGGGATCTCAGCTTAAGTGCCCTCCTCGACGCACTTGAGGCACGTTTTGGAGACAGCCACCTCGAGCACGTGTACAGAGCGCAATTAAAAGAGCGTACTCAGCGTGCTAATGAGAGCCTACAGCAATGGTCCGTGGAAATCGAGAAACTTGTGCGTCGAGCTTTCCGGTCGACTCCGTCAATGATTGAAGGCACGCTTCTCCAAGCGTTCATTGACGGTATTCGGGACCCCGAAGTACGAGCTGCTGTTCATCTGGGCCATCACAAGAACATGAAAGAAGCTCTGGCCCATGCATTGGAAGTGGAAGCTGTGCGTGGTAACTCCCGTACCTTATGTCTGCGGGAAATGACGACTACGGAGCAGGTACCTCCACGCCGTCGGATCTTCATGTGCTATGGATGCGGAGAGCGTGGGCACATGCGGAGCAACTGCCCGAAGAAGGTGAACCGCCAGGACGCGGCGGTCTCAACTTCT